TGTGCCTTTTGTATAAATATTTTCATGGTAATTGTTCTGATAAGCTTTTGTCTTTGGTACCTAGACTTTATGAATTTAAGTGCAGTACTAGAGTGGTGGCTTGGTCTCATCATTTTACAGCTGAAATGGCTGAATGTAAGCATAAGTTCTATGCTATCAATTTCTTTTCTTACACTTCTCACTTGTTGAATTCTTTTCAAGCATCTTGCTTTCCTGTCAACTTTAATCTTCATAAAGTTAAATGCAGTGTCAATCGTTATTTTCTGGCTTCTTGATTCCTGTTCTTTTATTGTTCTTTCTCCTTAATAATGTTTTCTTTCCCACATATTCTCAGTAACCCTTTGCATCTTAGTGGCTTTATTGCCTTACTTGGGGTGAAATTATTGAAACAAGCAAACAAAAATAAGAGCATCTTTCTTTTTCTCATTAAAACTAGGCAGCATCTCTGATATATCTTTTTCTTACATCTTCCCTCATATTTAAACCGAATGGCCCATTTTTTTTTTTTTATCTGAGATGATAGCAACTCATGAAATAATTAAGTACTGGCTACAACACTTGTTTCTATACCTTTATTTCTAGGAACACATATATATAGCTCCACTGTGGGTGAATGACCATTACCCAAAATTAAGCGAGCCAGAAATAAAAAAAAAATTGATTAGGGATATACTTAGTCCATTGTTCCATGAATTTGTGGACAGGGGACAAGCAAGTTATTAAAGGGTGTCATCCAAATACTAACTTATTAACTAATGGCAGAACAAATCTAATTATAATATAATTTCTGAGATATGGAATTATCATTATTATACACTGATTCATCTGAACTGGTGTCTTCATCTTAGTTGTTAAAGCAAGAAAATTTTAGCCATTGAACCTTCCAGTGTTCTTCAGGTGCTAATCATAGTTAGTAGCATTCTGGGAATTCTACCAAGACCCTGAAAATAGCCAAAATGTACAATGGCTGAAAATTTGTGGCTATAATTCTTAATCAGTATATAATTCTTTCTCTCTGAAATTGAGAGATAAGCTAAATGTTCATGACTTCTTTTGCTCTTAATTTTCTGGATTATATGGATTATAGTTTAATGGATTATATTGTCTACATTATATGGGAGCCCACTGGCAGAGAGGGGGTGGTGGCAGGAAAATAGTTAATTTCCACTTCCAAGTTGACCAACATTACACTATCTGATATCTGAACCATTCAGTGTATTCTACTTCATTACACAGTACATAGTGATAAGTCCATAATCATCTCTTCGTAGAATACCTATGATGTAAGTAATGTATTGTAGGATGTGTCTCACCCCAAATTATGCCAGAATAGATTTTGTATTTAATTTCCTTCAGAGACACTAGATGTCAGGTTGACTTCAGAGATGGCCTCTTAGTTGCCATTGCACTCTTTCCCCATCTTTTGAACTGGAGTAGGGGTTTATTCCGTTTCTTCTGTTTAAGATTGGGTTTCAAGTTTCTTCTCCTAAAGTCATCTCATTTTCTTTCCCCACAGCAACTCCTTGCATCTTAGTGGCATTATCACCTTACTTGGGATGAAATGGTTACCCCTCCCACACACACACACACACACACATATATATATATATATATATATATATATATATATATATATTAGATTCAATATCATCACTTGATAAGACACCAGAGGTGTTGAAACAAAATAGCTATTTTTGTAGTGATTTTATAATATATTTATGTTATAATTTTTAAATAAATAATTATATTCACTCTACTCTGTATTGAGAACACTTTTAAGAATAGTAATTGTTGGTTATTGGAATTTATTCTGTATACACCAATCATATACTTGTATATATATATATATATATATATATATATATATATTATAATTATTTTTTAACCTAGAAGGTATAGCTTCCAACTGCCTGCTACTGTCCAGTAGCAGTTCTTCCTTCCCTTTCAAAGGGGATGGTTGACATTTGAACTGTCCAATCATAACCCCCCAAAAAAATATCAGCAGGTTCTTTCGGCCAGTAACACAGTGAGAGTCTTTATTTTTTCTTTCACCTCAAAATTTTCAAAGCATCATAGCTAAACTGGTATAGCAAGTCAGGCTATATCACATTTCTGTTCGATTCCTGTTGGAGAACACATATTTTCTGTGAAATTTCTCATACATTCAGGCCGGTAAATGTTGTTAATACTGCTTATTATAAACAGAGCATTTACTTAAATATTTGTGTCTATATAAATAACGTATAACAATAAAATATATTAAAATAATTGTCAGACATAGTCCATTTCATAATATATATATATATATATATATATATATATATATATATATATATATATATATATATATATATATATATCCCTTAGAGAACAGAAAGGCTCTCTCTCAGACATTGCAGATGAAATTATAAAATCAAAATCCATATTTTGGACGAGGGGCATAGGGCTGCCATTAAATACTGGCGGGGGGCTGCCATTAAATACTGACGGGGCTTGTCTTACATACTCATGAGGTTAATTACTGCGAGGATTGATCTTGTATACTGGTGGGGCTGCTCTTACATACTGGCAGGACTGCTCTTATATACTGGCGGGGCTAGTCTTACATACTCATGAGATTAATTACTGCGGGGATTGATCATGCATACTGGCGGGGCAGCTATTACATACTGGTGGGGCTGCTCTTACATACTCGTGATGTTAATTTTACATATTGGCTGGGCTGCTCTTACATACTGACAGGCCTACTCTTATCTTCTGGTAGGACTGCTCTTACATACTGGCAGGGCCAGTCTTGCATACTGGCAGGCTGCTCTTGCATACTGACAGGGCTGCTCTTGCATAATGGTGGGGCTGCTCTTAAATACAGGCATGACTGCTCTTACATACTGGTGGGTCTACTTTTACATATTGGTGGGGTTAGTCTTGCATACTGCTAGGGCTAGTCTTACATAGTGGCAAGGTTTCTCTTTTATATTGGTGGGGCTAGTCTTACATACTAGCAGGGCTGCTCTTGAATACTGGCAGGGCTAGTCTTACATACTGGTAAGGCTGTTCTTGCATACTGGCTGGGTACTCTTACATACTAGCGAGGCTGTCCTTTGTACTGGCTGATATTAATTGATGAAGTATGCTGAATATAATGCCATGTTATACATGAGATACTTCATGGGAAATTTGTGCATTTTCTTCCTTACTCAGCAGAATAATACTTAATTCTAATATATTCAAAATATATATTTTTTTTTCATCATTTCTCCTGAAGCAAGTCAAAAACATCACTAGTATGCAGAGCGTTTACAGAGAGTGAAAGTGAAGGAAAATGAGAATGGTGATGATTGAGGAAAAGACAAAAAAGGAACAGGGTTAAAAAAGACTGAAAATAGCAATTAACATTGTTGTCCTCATTGAAGTAAGAAATCGAAAGGGATTTCCACAGGTGGGAAATGCAAGAAAAGAAATTGTTAGAGTAGAAGTGGCAGTTGCATCTAGCTATTTCAAGTGAAAGATGGTGGAACCTAATTGTCAATCTAGCAGCACACTTAAATTCATGTATTTGGAGCACCAGGAAAAAAAGCTCTTCAGAAGAGTTGCCATGGAAATATTTCTAGAAAAGATAAAGGGAAATCACATCACATTGATTAGAAAGTGACTAAATCAAGATGACTGGTAAGGATCGATTACATTACAGAGCCTTCTTTGGATTCTGTTGATATGTACAGCAGGAGCACCAGACCAGATATGGCTACAGTATTTAATGTCTTCTTTTACACCTTCTTTGGAAAGTGACAGTGAATACCCACTGCTAGATTAGAGAACTCTTGTAATAAATGATAATCCCTTTGTTTAAAAGATATCTGAAAATATTAAAAAAATACTAAAAAACATACATTTTTAACTGTCTGGGAAGTGTTTTAGCAGATGACAGAAAATGTGGCATTGAAATCCAAATCCCCTTTAGAATAATGAAAGATGCCTTTGCAAAAAGTAAAAAAAGTATTTAGAAACAAGAAATTTTTCTTAGAAATATAGAAAAGAATGTGCTGAACTGTTATGTAATATCAATCCGCCTATATGGCAGTGAATGCTGAACAATTTTCTCACAGATGAAGAGAAGCAACAGAGATGAGGCTCCACAGAAGAATGCTGAGAATACCATGGACTGAACATGTGAACAACAATGATGTTTTAGAGAAAATGGAAATAAAAATGACACTTGTACTTAGAATTAGAGTAATATCTAATGTGGAAAGAAGGCTTGTAAAAAAATTTGATAGTCATTGGATATACTGAAGTTGAGAGGAAAATTTGGTTCAGTTTGGTTTGTTTGTTTAATGGCATATCAATTCCTTATGGGTCAAAAATGCCAAAATTTTATTTTCTTGGGAGCTTTGGTAATTTTTTTTTCCCAAAATATAATGCTGGTATTTTTTTTTTTACAGTGAAAATGTATTGCTGGTTATTTTTTCTAATGTATTTTATATTTTCATGTTTTGACCTCAGTTTGGCGGTTTACTATTTACCCATATCTAGTACCCTAACAAGTGCTACCTCCCCGGGTCAGAGTGAATCTGAGAACAAAACTAGTTAAGAAGTGGTTCCATGCCTCTCAAAACCTCCTGATCAGAGGCATTGCTGCTGGATGTAGTTTATTGTCATACCCAGGATGCACGAGAGGAAAAGAGGGGTGCAGTAACCTACCCTAGCAAGCTTATATTAATGGAAGTCAGTTCAGAGAGCGGGAATGATAGTAAAAAAGTTAAGAGCAACAGTGAACAGGAAGTAATGGAGAGCCATGATCACCCACTTCCTCAACTGATACTGCTTGTAAAAGAAGTAACAAAGCAAAAAATTGGGTTAGTAGGTGATATCTAGAAATACATCAGGATGATCATGAAATCATTAAGAATTTTGTGTTTCACAACATCATACATTTTCAACCAATTAACCCAGCTGGTATCGATCAAATACCAGCTTATGGTCAGGTAACAAGCTCTCCAATGCAACATGATGAACTGCAAATTAATTTTTACAATATGGCTGACTTTGAGTCTTTCTTATATGTACAGCCAGTGAATCCTCCAATCAAATTCATTTCTGTGCTCCCGCCTCCCTATAAAAATGAAAGAATGTAAGTCACTGGTTTTTTTCAATCCTATAGAAAAGGTTAAGATGCTTGTTCCACATTCTGGAACCCAGAATGGATTAACTACAGGTAAATATACTTCATTTGTTTTGTCTTAAAAATATACATACAATAAAATATGACGTAAATGTCTAGAGAGTGCCTTAATCGTAAGGTCATCTACAGTAAATTTGCACCCTGGCTCTTACAACATTTTACCATTCCTGGCAGATCTTCTATTACAATCTAGAATACCTACTTACAAAAGTGATGGAAAGAAAAATAAAAGACTCTAAATTAATTTGGCTAAAAAAAAAAAAATTATAAAATTCCCTGTACCCCTCCATGCACATATGTAGTCCTACCAACACAAAATCATGAAGGTTGAAACACATCACAAGTAATCTTTTTCCACTTTGCCATGCAAATTCCTTCATATAATAAAATATATATAAAAGATATAATAGTATATGAGAATATATATAAAAGTAATCAGGGTTAATCATTTTTTACATTATTCAGACTATTGTCCTCATCTTTGTTGCCATATTTATTACAACATTTCGGCTGTTGTACGCTTTGGCCTTCTTCAGGTGGTTGGAATGTCGAACTGAACCCTTTATTTCGATCACTGGGGTAGACTGTTCTAGTTTCACGTGCCATGTTTTTTAATGGATTTCAGTTATCAGTTATCTCCTGTTAATTCCCCTCTCCAAGTTCTCCACTGCTGAAACATTGTAATAAATATGGCGACAAAAATGAGGACAATAGTCCGAATAATGTAAATAGTGTACATAATACCTCATCTCAGAAATATAGAAAGTTACTCATTTTTGTTAAATCTTTTATTAGATTGATCAACAATAGAAAATATACTGAGAAGTTTGTATTCATTTCTTTCTCTATAAATATAGAGGAAATAAATCTATTATAACTATATTTATTGACTTTATGTTGTTGCATCTACACAAATCTAACAGAATTATTCTAATATAAAATCTATGCTTGAACACTTATGAAGGCTTGTAATAATTCTTGTGTCCAAATAAAAATCACTCGCATATAAATCAGAAATGTTTTAAAAATTCTATTTATTTTCCTAAGAATTTTATATTTTCTAGTTTTGTATTTAATGTGTTAAGCATCATATATATTGCATTACAAATTTTGTTTTAAATCTTATCCTGTTATTTGTCAATCTCTATTTGCTCATGGCTGGGTTTTGCAACTTATCTAAAGCACACATAAAATATTTTAGAAAGATCGATATTAGTAAAGAATATTAATACATTGCTTTTTTACATGCCTCTTCTTTATTGTATCATTTTCACATCTCTTTCTTTAGATTTTTTTTTATTTTAAACATTTTCTATTTTTTATTTTGTTTGTTTTTCTTTTTTTCTCTTCTTTTCTTTCTCAGATCTTTCTTATTTTATGTGCTGTGTCCTTTCAGGACCTGGGTGATCATGGATCTCTAAAATTTCTTGTCCATTATAGCTCTTAATAGATTTTATCATATTGTTAACTCACCTAAGCCTTACCATCCACTTACTCAAGTTCACTATGTAGGTTATGTGTTGTGTTGCCTTTAATATATTCTATGAGTATCAAATTTTCCAAACCCTCTTTCCTGCTGTTAAGTATAAGTGTCCTTTTTGCTTCCATTGGATTTACAACTTTGTTGTTGCTCACATGTTTGGTCCATGGCATTCTCGGCATCCTTCTGTAGAACCACATTTCTGCTGCTTCAAGTCTCCTCTTCATTCACTGCTATATAGGAGGACTGATATGGTTAGGAAAGAAACCTTTGTCAATACTGGAAAAAGAGATAACAGCTATTGGACTTAAGAAGCCTATTTTCCTGAAAAAACCCTTTTAAGAGAAAGATTTTATAAATTTCAACCAAAAGCAGCTTTGGCTGTTCAGTCAATGAATATTGAATGCTTCCATATAAAGAAATGGCTAATACTCACCATTACCACCAGAAATGAGGACAACAGATACTACACTCTGATCCTATCCCAGTGGCCAAGTAGTGAAGAAAAAGATTTCTCAATATAGAGAACTTGTGCCAGACTAAGCCAAACTTAACTCAAAACATTAATCTCAGAACTCATGTCCTATTCTTAAATAATCTCATTAGTTCTAAATTCTAAATTATCAGCTGTATACAACTGTTTTCACAGATTGATAACTAAAAATGGTTTTCAGTGAATGAAGCCTGTAGGTCTTTGTGAGGATCATCCTTTGAACCCCGTGGATTGGCGCTACAGAATCACAGCCAAAAAACTTTACTAATTAACAGAAACCACCTCACAAAGACTTTCAATATTTGGAACATCTAAAATAGATATCACATAACTAAACAGAAAATAATGATATAAGATGTTGAATAATCTTTAATTATTACTATCATCCTTAGATTTCTCAATATTGTGATCTTGTGCCAGACTAAGCCAAACTTAAATCAAAACATTAATCTAAGAACTCAAGTCCTATTCTTAAATAATCTCATCAGTTCTAAACTCTAGATTACTACAGAATCACAGACAAAGAACTTTACTAATTAACTGAAGCCACCTCACAATGACTTTCAACATCTGCAACATTGAAAATGGATGGTAAATGTAACTTGAAAGGAAAATAATTAGATAAAATGTTGAATTTCAACATTATTTCTGACAAAGGGATAGGGAGGAAGTCCTTTTCTTTACAGGAAATAGCGATAACAGTTATCGAAAAATTGTTTTAAGAGAAAGATTTTATAAATTTAAATTGACAAAAGCAATGGCTAATCAGTCAATGAATGCTGAATATTTCCTTATAAGGAAACAATTAATATTATCATTACCATAAATCTTCTTTTTTCTTTTTTATTTTTCACATATCCTCTTCTCTTCTCTTATTTTTAAGCTCATCTTTCTTTTTTATATCTTTCTCCCAACAGTTTTTTTTTACTGTTTCCCCTTTTCCCTTTAAGTGGAGACTTAAGGAAACAGAAATGTGGTTCTAAAGTAAATGCTGAGAATACCACAGATGGAACATTTGAGCAACAAAGAAGTTTTAAGGAGAATGGAAACAAAAAGGGTATTTGTAGTTAGAATAAAATAATAAGATATAGAAAGTTGAAATTTCTGGAATACATAATGAGGAAAGAAGGCTTGTAGAATTTGGCACTCACAGGATATATTGAATGCAAGAGAGGCAGGAGGAAGCAGTCAGAAACTTAATGAGCTTGTGGAAATGGAATGTAGAACAGAGAGTGTAAGAGGACACATTTTGTTAGATCTATAAAAAATAGGAAGTTGTGGAGAACCATGATTGCCAACATACTGAAGGTACACAACACTCTCAGGGTTTACTTTGCTTTTGGGAAGCTTTAATATCTTCTTCTATGGTATCATTCCGGTTCATTTTATTTTGAGATCATCCTTCTGTTTTTCATGGCTTCATTTTTCTTTTTTTCTAGTTTCATGTTTTTTTCTTTTTTCCAATTTCTTTTTTTCTAGTTTCCCTTTTCTTTTTTTCTTTCTTCTTCTTATTTCTAGTTTCCTTCTTTTTTTTCGGATTTCTTTTTTTCTAGTTTCCCTTTTCTTTTTTCTTTCTTTTTCTTTTTTTTAGTTTCCTTCTTTTTCTTTTTTCTTTCTTCTTTTTTCTAGTTTCCTTCTTTTTTCCGATTTCTTTTTTTTCAAGTTTCCCTTTTCTTTTTTCTTTCTTCTTCTTTTTTGTAGTTTCTTTCTTTTTCTTTTTTCTTTCTTCTTCTTTTTTCTAGTTTCCCTTTTCTTTTTTTCTTTCTTCTTCTTTTTTTGTAGTTTCCTTCTTTTTCTTTTTTCCGATTTTTTTTTTTCTAGTTTCCCTTTTCTTTTTACTTTTTTCTTCTTTTTTTGTAGTTTCTTTCTTTTTCTTTTTTCCGATTTCTTTTTTTTCTAGTTTTCCTTTTCTTTTTTCTTTCTTCTTCTTTTTTTGTAGTTTCTTTCTTTTTCTTTTTTCCGATTTCTTTTTTTTCTAGTTTCCCTTTTCTTTTTTTCTTTCTTCTTCTTTTTTGTAGTTTCCTTCTTTTTTTTTTTTCCGATTTTTTTTTTTTCTAGTTTCCTTTTCTTTTTACTTTTTCTTCTTTTTTGTAGTTTCTTTTCTTTTTTCTTTTTCCGATTTCTTTTTTTTTGAGTTTTCCTTTTCTTTTTTCTTTCTTCTTCTTTTTTTGTAGTTTCTTTCTTTTTCTTTTTTCCGATTTCTTTTTTTTCTAGTTTTCTTTTCTTTTTTCTTTCTTCTTCTTTTTTTGTAGTTTCCTTCTTTTTCTTTTTTCCAATTTCTTTTTATTTCTAGTTTCCCTTTTCTTTTTTTCTTTCTTTTTCTGTTTTTGTAGTTTCTTTCTTTTTCTTTTTTCTTTCTTCTTCTTTTTTCTAGTTTACCTTTTCTTTTTTTCTTTCTTATTCTTTTTTCTAGTTTCCTTCTTTTTCTTTTTTCCGATTTCTTTTTTTCTAGTTTCACTTTTCTTTTTTTCTTTCTTCCTCTTTTTTCTAGTTTCCTTATTTTTCTTTTTTCCGATTTTTTTTTCTAGTTTCCCTTTTCTTTTTTCTTTCTTATTCTTTTTTCTAGTTTCCTTCTTTTTCCAATTTCTTTTTTTTTCTAGTTTCCCATTTCTTTTTTCTTTTTTCTTCTTTTTTCTAGTTTCCTTCTTTTTCTTTTTTCCGATTTCTTTTTTTTCTAGTTTCCCTTTTCTTTTTTTCTTTCTTCTTCTTTTTTTGTTGTTTCCTTCTTTTTCCTTTTTTCCGATTTCTTTTTTTTCCAGTTTTCTTTTCTTTTTTTCTTTCTTCTTCTTTTTTTGTAGTTTCCTTCTTTTTCTTTTTTCCGATTTCTTTTTTTTTTTAGTTTCTCTTTTCTTTTTTACTTTCTTCTTCTTTTTTTGTGGTTTCCTTCTTTTTCTTTTTTCCAATTTCTTTTTTTCTAGTTTCCCTTTTCTTTTTTTCTTTCTTCTTCTTTTTTTGTAGTTTCCTTCTTTTTCTTTTTTCCGATTTCTTTTTTTTCTATTTTCCTTTTCTTTTTTTCTTTCTTCTTCTTTTTTCTAGTTTCCTTCTTTTTCTTTTTTCCTTGTTTTTTTTTTTATTCTGGCTTCATTACACTTCTTTTTTTTCTCTCAATTTTCTTCATTTTTTTATTCACATTTTTTCTGTTTCCTTATTTTTTCCTTTTATTCTTCTTCTTAGGCACTTTTTTGTTTTTTCTCACAATATCATTTCTTTCCATTTGTTTACTTTTCCCTCTTTTTCTCTCCCACTTTTCAATTCCTTTTTTCTTTTCTCTCTTTATCTCTTGCTCTCATTCTACATCCTCCTCCTCATCCTCCTCCACATTCTTCTTCTTGCATCTATTGATGAAATTCAGACGCCTGCCAAATAAACAACATTATTTGTGTAAATCATTGGAAATAATCAAATAAAAAAAATTTTCTTGATTTAAAGGTTGGCTCAAGAGACACTCAATGTAGAGAGTTACTGATTGAGGTGTATAATATGAACACAGGAGAAGGAAGTAGAAAGTGAAGATTATAATGATATAGCGAATAGATAACAATTGACTCAAGACTCAAAGAGGTTAAGGTAGTAGTCTTCAGGAAAGCATCCATGCAGGAGTCTGCTATAATAATCTATCTATAAATATTTTCACAGTAATTGTTCTGATGAATTTTCCTCTATGGTAACAAAACTTTATGAATTTAACTGCAGTACTAGATTGGCTGTTAGGTCTTATCATTTTACAGTTGAAATGGCTAGATTTAACCCTAAGTTCTATGCTAACAGTTTCTTCTATTGCACTTCTCATGTGCATAACTCACTCCCAGCTTCTTGTTTACCAGCACACTTTGATCTTCAAAAATTTAAATGCAATGTCAATAATTATTATTAAGTCTTTTTAATTCTTCTTCATGCATTATTCTCTCTGCTTAACAGAGTGTTTTCTCTTATTCTCTAACACTCAGTAACCTCCCTTGTGTCTTAGTGGCTTTATTGCCTTGCTTGGGGCAAGATGATTTCAAAAAAGTTACATCTGGCTAGTTCAACAGTAAAATGGTGAAACCTTGTTGTCAATCTAGTATCACACTTAAATTCATGCAGTCAGGTCATTAAGGATAAAAGCTCATTAGAAGATTTACCATGAAAATATTTGTAGAAAAGGCAGAAGGAAGCCATATCACATGGTGTGAAGGTGACTAAAGTCAAGATGCCAGGTCAAGATCAATTATATTACAGATGCTTCTTTGAATTTTTTCAAGAATTTTCTTATATATAGTAGGAGCAACAGACCAGACAACAGTATTCACTGCACAGACAAATGGTAGATTTATAAATGTGCAATATGGATTCTGATGAAAAAAATTGTCTGACACAACACAGTGAATCATGGTTTGGTTTGTTTTGTTTTACGGTATATCAACCTCAATGGGTTATTTAACACTGACAAAATTTTTATTGCTGGTAATATTTTTTCCAAAAATGTATCGCTGATAATATTTTTTTCTTCAAAAATGTATTGCTTCTTTATTGCTGGTAATAATTATTTACAAAAATATATGGCTGGTAATATTTTTTCCTCCAGAAGTGTATTGCTGGTAATAATTTTTCCTCAAAAAAATTATTACTGGTATTAAAACCTATTTTTTACACTTTCACAGTGTTTTGACAGCAGTTTGGGAGACAACTATTTGCTCATAGTTGGGGCCCTAACACATGCTACCACCCTGGGTCTGGGTGTACCTGGGAACACCAGCAATTAAGAGGTGGTTCCATGCTTCTCAAATCCTCATGATCAGAAGCCTTGCTGATGGATGTAGTTTATTGTCTTACTCAGGACACAGATGTAGTTTATTTTCATACTCTGGATGGACATTGAATCAATTTTCTTAACAAGTAGACAGAGATCCAAAGGAACTTGATACACACACACACACACGCACACACACACACACATACATATATATATTATAATAAAAAAGAACTGTAAGATATATAATCTGGTGTTCTTAATTGATATTTTTGTTTTTACAGAACAGTGCTCAATGTAAATTTACAGAGAATAAATATTATAAATTAACTGTTAAAATATTAAAAATATAGTATCTTCGCTACACAGGAATTACCATGTTTCAAAAACCGAAGCTAAAAACTTCAAATTTAATTATATCATTAAATTAAAAGTACTAGTTCTGTTTCATCTTCAAGCATATTTTGGAATATCTGATTTTTAAATTTACTGAGTTTTTAACGCACATACAATTCATAATTTTTTGTTTCCAAGGATACAGAGAAATCCAATCATTTAGACAGCGGTGGTAGCATGTTCATTTTTATTAACTCTATATATATATATATATATATATATATATATAAACAGACAAAGAGAAAAATTCTGAGAGAAAAGTACTGAAAAATTTATCTATCATTAGATATTAAATACTTTACTTGTTGTAAATTAATAATTGTTTGATAATAACTTAACATTAGGTGATTCATTTTCACAGATATTTAAAAATAATTTAACATTTCTGCTATTATATTAGCTTATTCATATCAATTTATTATTTTACCTTTCTTTATATTGTAAATGTCACAACCAATTAACAGTTTATTTTTCCCTTTTTCAATACCACATTCCTTCACACAATTTAAAAGAAAAAAATAGGGTGTCTATTTCAAACAAGTGTATCCACTAAAATGTTTCATTCATATATATATATATATATATATATATATATATATATATATATATATATATATGTATAGATTCAATTCAGTTCAATGTCTAATAAATATAAGTCAGTAAAAGATCATGTTGAATTTAAACATTTTTTTTCATAATGTAATTAATATATGTATGTAAATATATTTATATTGAATTGTGTCACTTGGCATCTTCCATAATTTACCTTGACTTTTCATTTAGCCTGATGAATATTCACAAGTATTTCTTAAATTTAAAAATTTTGAAAAAATAATTGTATTTTACTTCTATTTATAAATACTTGTTGCAAAATAAAATCCTTGCATTTGCCTTGATAACATTGACTAAGATAAGTTTTCCTGTTGTCTTTATTCATATTATCCTTTTACAGATATATTTTTAGTTATATCTTTATTTATATATATATATATATATATATATATATATATATATATATAATGAATACAGAAGCCTTAAAAATCCATTTGGATTTTATGTAAAACTCATCTGAGGAGATGGACATTTGAGGTCTATAAAATGAATTATAACCTGACTGAATGGATTTTTAAGGATTCTGTATTCATTTTTATATTGCTCTGTTCTTACATTGAGCTCTCTTTGGACTTATATCCTCCTTGGAATTATCGCTACTAATCATTAAGTGATATTATATATATATAAATTAACTGATTTAAAATATGGTTTTTTACCTACACAGTAATAACCATATTTCAAAAACTGAAGTTAAAAACTTCAAATTTAACTATATAATTAAATTAAAAGCATTAGTTCTATTTTATCTTCAAGCAAATTTTGGAATAACTTAGTTTTAAATTTACTGTGTTTTAAATGCACATATAAATTCATAATTTCCTGTTTCCAAGGATACAGAGAAATCCAATCATTTAGACAGGAGCGGTAGCGTGTTCATTTTTATTAACTATTGTTGTATCAATTATGAGTTATGTTCGAAAAAGAGGTTAAGTTTAGGGAGGACAGGGGTGTATTTTTCAACGAATTCTGACATCCGTTAAATGCATGTTGTCTGGGTTTTTTTTATTATTAACAGCAAAAATTTTTTCAGCATTTTTTTCTTACTTGTATACTGAAAGATTCTTTCTAGGGGTGTTTGGGTTAGAATACATTTTATTTAACTATAAATTTAAAATATTTTTACTCTTAATTACTAATAGTCTATATTCAAACTGCTATCAATATTCACCTTGTTAACAATCTTTTTGCCATGCTGAATAAATAATATATTTTTATTTATGTTCTTTAAAATTATGAGTGAGTCTTTTCGTATTCAGCATGGCAAAAAGATTGTTAACAAGGTGAATATTGATAGCAGTTTGAAGCAATGCCCATTTCAGTAGTTGTAAGTCAAACCATTATAGGGATAGTAGTAATCTCAGAAATTAGGTCAGATGTCAATCTGTTTTATTTTCTTTCAAACCTGAACAGAGCAGAAATGTAAGTAGCAGAAATCTTAACTGTTTCTTTACACGTCATACCTGGTTGCATTTTTTGTTCTATCTCACTTGGTTTTGTACTAGTCTCCTTTGTGGGTAGCACTCTGGTTCTGGCCCAGAGGTGGCAGGTTTTTATATACTTTTCAACAGGCTCATGAATTTGTTGTGAAAATCAAAAAATCTCTTTGTGTCAATTTTTTAATTGGCCAAATTATTTTATTTTCTGGTGTTCCTTTCTTTTTCATTTATTTTTATAACAGAAATTGCGTAGAGCCTCCCTGATTTTTGGTATTTTTCAGTCACAAATAAGTAGCTTCTCCTCCTGCCAACTTCTGGTGTTTTTCAGCTGAGTTCAATCTTTTCTTCTTCCTCTTTTTATTTAAGAGTTACCTTCTCATAGGTTGAGAGAAGTATAGAAAGAGAAGGTTAGAGAAAGGGAGAAAGAAAGAGATAAGGATTTTTAAGAAAATGCCTTATTTTTATTTGAATTCTTTTGAATATATTTCATTTTTTATTGGGACTCACTAGATTAAATCCAACATAAAAAATATCATATTAGAAAAATATGCACCCTCTAGCAGGATTTGAACCTGCGTCCATTATGGGAAACAGTTATTATACCTGATGTCCCTTAGACCAACTTGGTCATGTAGGGCCTACTGATCAAACAAAGCCTGAATAGTCAGCCCTAATGAGGGTTTCCACTAGGAGATGCAGGTTCAAATCCTGCTGGAAGGTGTGTATTTTTCAAACAAGATTTCTCAAATATTCAGGCCAGTAGAAGTAAATAAATAAATATACTGTTTAATAAATAAATAAAAACAGAGCATCTACTCAAATATAAGCATCAATTTAAAATAACATTTAAACAAATAATTTAGAAATATATATATATATATATATATATATATATATATATATATATATATAGAGAGAGAGAGAGAGAGAGAGAGAGAGAGAGATAACCAAACACGGATAAATAAAAGATATAAGAAGGAAATATTTTAGCTGAAACAATAAGCGTTAAAGCAGTAGGAAATTTCCAAGGCAATATTTTAAATACAGAATTCAATAAATTGATGTTTTCTCAAATGCTACTTAAGAACACTTTGAAGAAATATTGACATATTTGTGTCTGCATTTCAAATACATTTCCAATACATATACAAACACACACAAATATATACATACACACACACACACACAAAT